TTTTTTTTTTTTTTTTTTTTAACCGTAGCCCGCGGCCCGGCGGCGCTTCCTGAAAATCCAGCCACGCTTCCCTGGGGGAAGAGGCCGGGAGAGCCGGGGCGGGCCGAGGCCGCGTGGGAGTGGGGGCCTCGCCTGGGGCTGGAGGAGACGCGGGGCCCTCGCCAGAGCCCCAATCTCACAAACCCCGTGCGGGGGAGTGGGAGCCCCGCAAACTTGGGGAGATCCGAGCCRGGACAGGCAGGTGCCAAGGGCCGGGATGGGCGCAGGCTCCTACCTGCGCTGGGTGCTGCCATTCCCTGCGGCCCCACATCTCTACTCCCGTGGGGCACCRCGGAGACCCTCGGGGCACACAGAGCCCCAGCAGCCCTGTCCCGGGGGAGCAGAGCCCCCGCGGCCCCRTCCCGCTGCATGGGGGAGCCTTCCCAGCCCCAGGGAGAGCCCCTAGGGAAGGAGAAGCTCCCCAGGGCGCTGGCTTTAAGGCTCAGATCCCTCCTCCCCGCTCCTTGCCCGCCCTCTGGAGATGCTCCCCACCTGACCTCCTGGAGATGACCATCACCTGGCCTCCTCTCCGGAGCATCCTCCATCTGCTGTGTCCGTGCAGGGGCCAGGGCCTGGTGGCAGCACCTCCTCACAGCTGTCTCCATGGTGGCATCCTTCCCTGGGCTTTCTGCTCCAGGAATTCCCTGGAAATGTGCTCCCATGCTTGGTGCGGGCGGGATGGCCACGCGCAAACACCTGCGTGCGGCGCTGCGGCCTTTTCCCAGGAGGGAAGGGAGCAATGGAGCACAAGCAGGGGGTGATGGAGAGCAAGCAGGGAGCGATGGAGAGGGCACCGGAGCCAGAGCGCCCCAAATGGACCAGATGATCTCTAGAGGCCCCTTCCAACCTCGGACATTGTGTGATCACYGTCGTGTCACCCCAGCAGGTGCTGGGTGCTGCTCCTCGCTCTGCGGCGCTCCGGACAGGGCCTTCCCCTGAGACCAGGGCAGCCGCCAGGGATCTTTGTATGGGAGTATGAGCAGAGACCGTGTCCAGGCTTGCTCGTAAAGGCAGGAATTTCTCCCYGGGCTCTGCCACGTGGAGCAAAGATACTGTCCTGTGGGTGACGTTGCATGGGGGCGTACAGAGGCGGCAATGGTCCCTGCAGGCCACCCAGGCGGTACAAGTGTGCTGGGGTGCCCAAAGTCCCCGTGCTGCCGGGGATTCAGACCTCAGGGACCTGTGGGGAACCTGGTGCATCAGCTTCGCAGTGTCCCCAGCTGCTTGTGTGACCGGAACGTGGAGTTTCCTGAGACTCAAAGACCTTCGGAGGGGCCTTGCTGTGAAGGCGCCTGGTCTTAGCTGGAGCACCGGCCTAGATTTGGAGCTCCCCAGATTTGGAGCTCCACCAGCTGATGGAGTAATGAAGCTTCCCCGAATGCAGATGCCGAGGTTGGAGGTAACGAAGCTGCAGGAGGAAGAAATGAAAGACTGGATGAACCTTCACGGACCGTGAGCTGCAAACAGTAGGTGACTGAGTATGTTGATGTAGCGCGGTGAGGGGCCCCAGGCAGCGAGGGGGCAGCTTGGCAGATGGCCAGGCAGCCTGGGCCTGCTGGCYGGAGAGCCGGGGCCCGCCACGGGTGGGAAGAGGCTCTGCCTTTGGGAGCCGCGAAAGTGATGAGGACTTTGTGAGGAGGACACACGTCTGCTGGCCTGGTGCAAGCCCCTTGCCRGCTGAAGGTGCATGAGCAGCTAGGGTGGCTGGGTGGTTTGTAGGGCTGAAACCGGAATTGGCAGAGTTGGGGTCA